TTAAAGAGTATTTTATATATTTTTATGCATGTCATTTTGTATTTATTTGTTAAGCTTATACTACATTAAGGAAACAATGCATTCCTAGATATTATTATAAACGCACAAGTATGTTAAAATTTACTGAATTGTTACGATGTTCAAAATAAATCAGTCATTTTTTGTAAAAAAAGCATTTGAGTTTCGAAGGAATTCATTAAACCTTAAAAATGACATTAAATTGACTCATGCATTAGAATTTATTCAAACATATATTTTAAAGAATATATAATGAATTTGAAATTTAATAACAACAATATATATGCATATAATGTATATAGATATAATCTATTAATAAGTTTTTCAAATGCCACATTACTTCATATATGTATATAAATGTATGTATGTCTGTAACGATAAAATGTAGATGTTCAAGTTAGTGTTCAAATGTTGCTATTAATGTTAAAATATCAGAAGAATGAAAATAGTATAAATCGTTTTTTTATAACTTGATTTAATTAAAAAATGTTTTCTGTTAAGGTTGATATTCAACATATTTGATGAATCATATGAATCATTAAAATACAATTATTATTGTATCATATGAGCCGCGTCACGACAAAACCGACAGTTTGCGACCAGCATGGATCCAGACCAGCCTGCTCATCCGCGCAGTCTGATCAGGATCCATCCTGTTCGCTTACAAACTCTATAACAAGTAGAAAAACCGATAGCGAACAACATGGATCTTGATCAGACTGCGCGGATGCGCAGGCTGGTCTGGATTCATGCTGGTCGCAAACCCATTATGTTGGTTTTGTCTTGACACGGCTCATATATATGTATTTTGCTTCTCAAGAGTTTGATATCATTTTGTGTACAATTACATTTTCATTTCTTGAGGCAATTCATTGTAGAAATATCATGTATAAAGGCAAATCGTGATCTAAATAGTCACATGTTCGATCCAAATAGGAGCAAGAAAGAAAGAACCTATATATTCTAAAAAAATAACATTATATTAGTTCAGATCGTGACTTTTACATGTTTTAAAAATATCTAAACATAATATATACATGTACTGATATTCTTTAGAAAAATATCGTTTTATATGATTCAATTGTAAATTTCCTGTATCATTTTTAGCGTTTGTCAATAAATAAATAAATAAATAAATAAATAAATGAAAAATTAAAAAAAATTAAGGGCATATCTTAATGGAATAGTTGTTATTGTTTTATAATCTTTTGCTTTTGTGTTTCTATATATTGTTTAGGAGGCCATATTTAAAATAAGGATATGTTATTTGATTTCTACGATGGTATATTTCATATGTTACCTTCTTTTAATAAAAATATTATTATTATTATATATTTTCCTCAAAAGCTTTCTTTAAAACTTATGGCATACTTCATTGACTATATATTTTTAATAAAAATGCAGGAAATCATCTTACCAAGTACTTTTTAATCCAATTACGTTAAGATTTTATGATATTGACATGCCTGTTTATTTTATTCTATTCTAAAAATGAAAATTTTATAGTTAGAACATGAACAAATATAATTATTACCCAGCGAAATTCAAAATATAAATATTTTTATCAACTACGAAATGTTTTAATATAAAAATCTTTTGAAATAAGTAAAACGTATGCATTAAACTAGTGTTAATTTTGTTTTAACTTTGCTGCCTTTTGATATTTTGTCGGACTTATTATGTTGGTAGCTCAATTTTTTTATTTAGAAATTGAAGACCCCTAAACTTTAAATGGACTGCCCGGAATACAAAGCAGACCAAATCCATTACGAAAATCCAGTAGGTTAATAGTTAACACCAAAATTGTAAAATATTGTTTATATCTAATAAAAGGGTTGAGGGTGTTTTTTTTATACAATTTAAATTCCGTTTGTTTTAAAGTTGATTTTAATGAAAAAAAGACAATCTATATTACGTAAACCATCAAAACATTTTATAAATCCATTAATGTCTAAAAATTGGGTTTATATTTTTTTAAAGCGTTTATTTTTATTTATTTTATGTTCCAAAACAGTTTCAAAAATGTTACTCATTGGCAATACATGTAACGAGATACTTTGCTTTTTTGTTTTTTGGCAAAAGTAAAGAAATAAAAAAAGAAGTCAAAATAGACGCGTTTAACATTTTTTACTTCCACTATCCAGGAAAAAAGTCAATAAACGTAATTCTAATCAGATGAAAAGCGTCTAAAATCTATTAGTAATTAAACATAAAACCATTTTTGCCCCCTGTGGAAAAAAAAATCCAAGATTATTGCTTTTTTATACAAAATTTTTTCATGTCTATTTTCCAAGAAATTTATATTCACAAATGAAATAAAAACGTCAATAAAAAAAATACCAGGTCGCTCAACACGGCACAGTTATTAAAATGTTGCAGACATTTAACATGACTGAAAGAAAACAACAACAACAAAAAACAATGGGAAACAGATATCATCTTTTTTTATACAATAATGAACAAAATGTTGTCCAAAGGTTAAATTGAATTTTCAACTAAACTTTATGTTCTGTTTATTTTCAGCTTTTGTACCAAGGGAACAAATAGCAGAACCCTGTACCGCCCATTTGACGCAAACTAAATAAAGTAAAAAAGGTAAATGTGATCTAAATTTATAGTCTTCTGAAAAAAAACAAAAACTTTCATCACGCTAAATTTCTTAAATGAATTTGTCCCCTCTTTCAATCTGGACAAAACTATTAACCAATTTTAGGTGGAAAATATCAAAAAAGTGCAGACAGGTGTGCCCGCTGAGATTGGGCAGCACAGGCCGCGTAGGCAGATTCAGTTGCCTCTTGCATCTGAGAAAATCCTTTAATTTATCAATTTATCCCTATCCTCATTATTAGGCGGTCAACTCGATTTTTGCAATATCGACTGATAATCAAATTAAACATGTATACACTCCCACATGAAATAAACATAAAATATAAAACCAAATTATTGCCCATGCTTCTTGGGATGTCATTGCATTACGGATAACTTAAACAACCAATAAGACGCGTAAGACATATGAAACCTTTCTCCAATTAATAAAAAATATTCTCTCTGATTTCAATACAGACACAAGTCACGTCCTGAATATCTTTATGTTAAACAGAACTTGATAAGTACCTGTCATCGTGTGGTATTACTAGGCCCCTTACTCAGATATTAATTAAATAATTCCTTGTATGCAAGTGTGTGAGTGTATTTTTTTTTAATTAAGATATAATGGAATCGTAAACTAAACTATAATAAAAATGAAAACAATCCTTCATAGATTTTACAAAAGCGTTTATTAAAGTACACGTACCTTTAAAGAATTATGATATTAATCAAACTTCAATGATATTACATGTCATGCTTTCAGCGAATTTCAAATTCCTGTGTGAGAAGAGAAAGCCTTTGTTCTTCTGGGGCAATATATCTAAAAGGGCAAACAAACCTTGATCTCGCACGTTCCAAGGCACTTTTATGTTTCCTATTTTTTATGAAATACATCACACTGCACTGAGGACCACATGTCTGGAAAACATTGAATTTGAAAATCTTACCTAGATCAACTGGCACAGGGGCACTTAAAACAGAAAAAAAATGAAACAGTTGATAACGAAATATACCCAATCAAATTGAAAATCGGTATTAAGTGCAACCCTTAGCCCCAATGTTATTAGAGGTTTTTTTAGAGGTTTTAAACCGCTTTCAATTTTCAAGTCATTTAGTGCCTTAAAATGCTTATACTCTCTAGACACAGAGCTGATATTTTGTACGTAAGTTACCTGTATAGCTTTTATAGTTCGTATCAAATCCGCCACTTCATGCGACACACATCTACGTTTCTTCAGCCTCTTTTCAATTTCCATAACCAAAAGAATGCACTCCTTAAGAGACTCCACTGAGTTTGTTTTGTCATAACGGAATGGAAAGACATTTCCGAGATAAATGTTTCAGTTGATGTAGGAATAGACCAATTACTTGTGTGCCAAATTGCAGACCAATCGCTCGCTCCATTTTTCCAGAATAATTATTCTAATTGTGGAAAATGACCGAAATTGAAAAGTGATTCAAAGCATTTCACTCAAATCCGAATAAGAACAGCGCAAACATTTCATTTAATTTCTGGGCATTTTTCTTATTTACCTTTTGCATATCTGTCTGTTTTAAGTGCACCAGCCGATCTTTGTAAGACATTTTATGTTTTTAGATTTTTGTACTTCAGTGAAGTTCCTTTTATACATGTATTCCTAAATTATTTACATGAATATGCCAACAACCAGGTTTTTTTATCATTTTCTATCCACGTATTTTTATAATTATAATAACAACAACAACAAAATATCAACAAAGAGAACATATAGTAAAAAAGGTGAATGTATTTGTAGGGCAAAATGCGGTGATATTGATCTTGTTTTCCTTCTTCAAGCTACAGCAAAACCAAATGTAGAAATGAAAATCAAAACTATTTGTAGGTTAGAAGTTTAGAAAATAAAAAACAAAATTAATCTTTATAGAAACTTTTAAGACAATTACGCTATTTTAATGACATATGTTACATCGATACAATGCTCCTATATATATCAAACTGTCCCTAAGGTCTTATTTACATAACACGCATCTGTGCTTGTTATCTCTTAAAGAAAAATCATAAAAAGACAACATATTAGGTAAGCATACATGCATATCGAGCTTACGTACATAAACACATATGACAGAAGCGAACAGATGTGGAAATATGGAAAATGGTACAGAAAGAATTATATAACTTCATGTAAATCTTTCTACGCTAAATATCTTAGACGGACATGTCACCTTTCAATTTTAACAAAACCAGTTATCATTTTTAAATCATTAATATCAAAAGTAGAAATCCATAAATGATTACAGTAACATACTTGCTTAGAATTGTTCCATTTTGAAACGGTATAATACTTATTGACACATATCAAATGTTTGCTATAACTTTCATTTAACTAAAAATGTGTCGTCAAAGTTTATACTTTTTATTGCAGTTACAATGACCGTGCAAAATAAAACATGCGATATTGAATCGAATTACACGTGCTGGAACGAAAATGGGCAAGAATTCAATAAGATGTGGGCTAAATTGATGATACCAGTGGAAGTAATGATGTGTCTATTTGTTATAGTTGGAACCATCGGGAACATTCTAGTGCTACTGGTATATTCATACAGGCAACAAAAGACGACAGCAAATATTTTCATCATGTTTCTAGCTTGCATGGACCTGTTTGCATGTGTTGTGCTACACCCATACATAATATACAAACTCTTTCATGGGTATGACCAAACGTGGACAGAGATTTGCAAACTGTTTGAATATATAAACCACGTTATACTAGGATTGTCCGGTTTAACACTGTGCCTGGTTGCAATAGACCGATATCTTGCAATATGTCACCCAGTTAAGTACCTTCTGTTTCACAAACATGTCGCAAAGGGGATCACCACGATCACTGTTATATCTATAATTGGCAGTCTGCCAATTCTAGAATTATACGGCGCCACTCCAACTGTAATACGTCTGTTCAACAGTACATTTGTTTGCTACAAATGTCACTATAAACTAGAGTACCAGAATTCTGCAGTTTTGACGGCATTTGGAGCGTTCGTCATGGGTCTTTTTATGATAGAAATAGTTATAATGGTGATTCTGTACAAACACGTGGCAGTTACAGCGTATCGTGCGAGACGCATGGTCAGACCATTATCCAACGCACATATTTTGGCGGGAATTAATCCTTCAACATCAAACTCGGGAGGAAGACAAGGATTGCCAAAAGGCGAACAAAGTACAGACATTACTAATACGTCGCATGGTCAAAATACCCGTTCTTTAGATGATATTGCCACAAGTGAATCGAGACTTGCTAAAGCCACAGTAATATTTTCAGTTAATACAAGCATTCGTAACATCGAAAGGAGGCACTCGTCACGTGATGATCTGACAATGGACTACCACAGAAATTTTACAGAAAACAGAAACTTTTCCTCTAGACTTAAGGCTGCAAAAATGTTATTTTCTGTTACAGCTGTGTTCTTTTTGTCGTGGATGCCGTTTTTTATTATCCGTATTTCTGCGTCAATAAATCCGTATTTCTGGAATGACCAATCGAATACAAAATTAGTTATTGATCATATGTTAAACCACATATTCTACTTAAATAATGCAGTCAATCCAATCATATATACAATTATCAATAAAAACTTCAGATTTGATTGTAAAAGGCTTTTCAGAAAACATTGTGGGACTGGAAGGCGTTGACATAAATACATCACCTATTTCGTCAAAAGATATAACATTGTTAATTCGCAGGACATCCGGTTATTAGTTTTGTTACTCTATATACTTTGGGTAAATATTTGTTGTTTTTTTTCTATCTCAAAAAAGGAGAGGTGCCCCGAGAGTAACGAAAAGAAATAGTAAAAAAAGTAAAAACTGCAGAGTCGTTTGATTGTGTCTTTTAATAGGCCAATGTTCATCTGTCAGGCTCCTTTCGTCTGCTGGAGCAGTATACAATCTTTAACACAATTTATCTTTATATCGTATACCAGTGCAGTTTTGCGACCCTGAAAAGAAGAAAAGATTTATACAGGCGTGGGCATATTTTGGCGAGACGTCATATGCGATATAAATGTACAAACAAAACGCGTTATGTCACAATTTCTTTCATGGTGAATATACTGCAATCGACACAGGCAAAGTCACCTGAGTGAAAAAGAAAATATACAGGGGATGTTTTTCTGTCATTTAAAATAAGCTCTCGATCTCTTGTTACTGTTTCAATGAAACTCTTTGTCTTATAGACTTAATGACAGAATTATCATGTATTTGCATTGCCAAAAGGTAATGATCAGTTTGCTAAAAACCAGATTCCATATTAATTTGTTTGCTCAACCAAGTACTGTTTTGTTATGTTGTTAATCGTTGTATAATAAAGTCAGTTTTGAAAAAAAATTATCTCGGTGTTTATTACCATTTGAGTGCAAATATACTTGGTGAAACATGTATTTGCAACATATATATCAACCACTTTCAAGCCCGTTTCTCGGAACAATACATTACTAGTGTCATGATTTGATCTCAGTCCGAACCAATAATAATAACTTGGATTTGAAAGCACCAATAGGGCAGTGCTAATAAAGCTTTTTGTGTACAGTGTGATATTTGAAAAATGCAAATAAACCATATATTGTCTCTTTAGAAAGTTGCCTTTGAACTAATGTGCAGTCACTACTTTGGTATTTGCAAGTGTAACACAGTAATAATATAAATCATAAACTTTTATACTCATTTTTCTCAGTTGTCTTCAAAATAGAGACACATTGTAACAAAATCGCCTCTTTAACGGTAGCAATCAAACGCTAGACATTGTTGCAAATATCATATCAAGGTATGTTCTTCCTTCTACTTGAAGTAGCCGAGTAAATAAAACAATACTAAAATGACAAAGTCTTCTACTACACATTTAATTCCACAAATTTTCATTTTCATTCAAAAACCAAAACTCAATATCCATCTTTTACCAAACTTCCTCCTTTTTCTCTGTTCAGCCTTTATATATGAGAGTCCTGTCGGACAAACAACAAGGACAGCAGACGGCAGTCTTCTTGATACCAAAAGAGATTTAGGTGTTGGCCCGGTATACTCTTTGTTCTTTAGTAAATCAGCCAAATTTGAGGCTTAATTCTCGATTTCACTGTTCTTGATGAATTATATACTGTCTTCAACTTTAAACATTAACACTAACTAAGTCAAATGAAGCCCGAAATAGAAGTTAACCATCTACATTTTTTAAGAAATCTTAATTCTGTTGTAACACTGTTTAAATTCACCACTTTAACGACTCCTGACTGCTGGTCGGTAGTACATCTTTAATCTTCCCGCCAACAAATGAGTTCCTGGAGAATACACAAAAAAAAATTTTTAAATCATCCCAAAAAACACCAAAAAATAAACCGTGCAATAAATAACTTTTAAACCAAACAAAAATAAAAGAGAACTTTAAATGGGGGCCCCTTCAAAAATTAAAAGAACTCCTTTCTAGACTACAACGGGTTGGGTCTAATTCCGTACCGGGCTGAGACCATTAGAGATTAGATATCAAAACAGATAAAATGATTCATAGTTATTTACTGTTAAGTGAGAGACCAATTACTTAAGCACTAAAGCGTCGTAAGAAAATAAAATTTAATATTACATTGCATACAAAAACATTTCAAATTGAGAGAAATTGCAACAATATAATCAAATCAATAGATCATTTTAATGAAAGTAATATATTAGTTCTATATGACTTATATAATGTAATTAATTTGTATGTGTACGAATATGTTTGCAAATAACGCATCATACAAGAAATTCCGTTTGATATCATAGTGGCGTTTAATTACATGACTTGTGTAATATAATTATAATGATACAATTAAAAATAATGTCTTGAATTTCATTGGCTGTCACATCTTGTTTATTACATATGATGCATATTTACCTTAAGTAATTTCCCCTTAAGCGCCTCGATTTCCGATTAGGGTATATGAGTGTTTTTTCTGTCACAAGATCACGAAGATGGCATATTTCCATCGCTTCTTTGCAATTGATGGACATGTCCTCAAGAGAGAGGGTCACGTGCTTTTAAACGTACATGAAATCAATAATTCAGGTGGTTTAAGGTGGATAAAGTTATACAAAAAGTGCTCAAACAAATCGCATTTCAAGTATATGCTTCATTGGAAAAAATACTGCAAATATACTATATGCAATAACTATATATTTGAATTAGTATTTTAGTTACCAAGATATTTGAAGATTATTAATTTGTAAAATGTTATTAATGCAATGCTTTTAATTAATCTTCGCTAAAATATCATGGGTTTTGCGAAAAGTACTTTGGATGTAAACAATTTGTTAAAATACGTATAACTTCAAATTGGACAAAATAAAACATGTCGGGTTCAATTCCGTATGTAAATATATAAAACTTAAATAATGTTTACGTAAAGAATATAATCTGGAGTTTTACAGATATGGAAAAAATTGTCGTTCTACCCTTAGTGTGGACATGTACCATGCATGCATCGTTACATATATATCATTTGGATACATGGTAAAGTAATCATTACTTTTCTTTATGTAAGGCTCCTTAATTTTATTGGCCTAATTCCCTGAATCTTAACTACAAGCTAAACAGAAATTATCAGATACCAAAAGAAGAACATACGTTGCCAATAATTTTGTTCATAAATTAATTACAAAGGTCATAGTACCTAATTGTATGGAATGTTAAGGCACCCTTTTAACGATCACTTAACCTACAAGTATTTATAGATGTAGATGGATACATATGTCTTAACATTTCTTTTTACTTAATGCTTGCGTGTCAATGGTACGCAACTTTTAACAAATTAAACGCTTCTTATTGTAGAATGATTCGTGTTGCTTATTTGAGAAGAAAATAAATGCTGTCATTACCTCAAAATATACCAATGGCTACACATAGCTAGTTAACTTAATATACCTTTTAGTAGTTCATGGACATTACATAACGGTCCCATATAGTATGTTTGTCACATAGACAAAGGCTTGCAAAGACCTTAGATAATGTATCAATTACTTTATATACATGTAACATGTAACAAACCTTACCCTAAAGTATTATAACAATGCATGAATCAAACTATTATTTGTTTGAATTTCAGCAATAGATTTCAAAGCGAGCAATTTATTACGAAAAGTCAACAACAACAATTACAAATAAGAACATGATTTCATTCTGGAATAGAAAGCTTCCAAATATTAACTAGTTTTATATCAATGAACAAATTAATGTCACACTGCGTATGTATATATTTTCGAAAAAATACATTTTTGCAAACGTTATATTTTTTTGTTCTTCAAAACATAAACACATTAATTTCTTTAGAAGTATGTAGACAGACAAAATATGAGAGACCTTTGACTATTGTTGATATAAAGTTTATATTTTACGAGAGAAAGGTACTGATTTGCATCGCCTATATCATATATTTAACATAGTTAGGATGTTTTTATACTAGCATCATACTATGCCACATTTGCCATATTTCTGCAAAACATACTATCTATTTCCTACAATGAACGTCTGGAACTTCTCCTTGTTGTCAATAGGCTTATTCTTGCCATTTACAATAAATTATGATTAAAATGGTAGTAAAATGTATTGTATAAGTTGAACTTTGAATTCCAGATAAAACATTTAATCACTATAACTGTAATAGTTGCAAAAATGCAAAATGAATGCAGGAAAAGCAAAAGATGACTTAGTATAATTTAGAGACTGTTACATGATTATAAAAAATAAAATCTTTTGTAAAATATCTAGCATTTTAGCCTTTGAGCAGATGGTTTATATACATATATCAATTATCGCTATAAAGAACACTTGTTTGTACGAAAATGCAGCTGTTATCGAAAAATATTATCAATCTTGGTATTATGTATTTGCTATATTTAATAACGCATACAAACTGCGTATGCAAACTTGTGTGCGTGCATGCGATCTGTTAACATTTCACCTATTCAGTAAATAATTTCGATTATCACGAATTTTCTCTTTGAAAATGAGTTTTCTTTATCGAGCCGAGTCGCCATTTCTTTAGTTAAAAGGAAACATTATACAATACATTTCGTCAGAATTTCTACATAACAATTTATTAATCCAACAAAATTCTAGATAACTTAAATTTCTATTTCGGGTTTAGGTGTCCTTAAAATTGCAAAGTGCTATAACTGTACATTTCGTGACATACTTTAGTAAATAATTGATAGGAAACACTATATATATATCGTTAAAATTTCTACATTGTAATTAATTGATCCCACAGAATTCTAGAAAACCTAGGTTTCTATTTCTAGTTCAGATGTCCTTAAAATTGCAAAATGCTATTACTGTACATTTCGTGACATACTTTATTAAATGAAAGAGGTTAAGTGAATCTACAGTGCCATGAGGAAAGTCACGAATTCAGATAATCATCTATTCCGGTCAATTACAATACTATAATCTACAGATAATGATCGAAATTCTACAATTTTGATTCAGCATCTTAAAATGTCAATTAAACTACTTCAATATACATGTATTTAAGCCTTGGTAAAAAAGTCAATTTATATAACTAGTATACATGAGAACACTTTCTTCACTTTTATCAAGATACTTTGGAGCATTGCCATTCTGTGTTCCTATTAATTCAGGTAAAGATAAACTTTGGAGAACAACGAAAGCAAAAACTGTACAGGTGAATCTGTCGTCGCGGGTTTTTTTTCATATTGCTTATAAAAAGCAAGCAAAAACTTGTAGATACACATACATGAAAAAGATCAACAAATAATCAATGAATTCATGATTTTTAAATGTATCATCTCTATTAATTAGTATGCTGATTAAGATATTATGTAGGTTAAGTAGTCAGACACTGGCAGAATTACTGGTTAGTTATCCAGGAAATTACTTGTTAGTTATCCAGGAAAGCCTGTTATGTGGACCGACCGCAAAGATATAAATAACATTTGCTATAATCGGAAGACAACCACCAACCAACCAACCAATCAATCAATCAATCAGACAGTCAAACAAACACTGAGTTAAGTATATTTTGCAATGCTCATTGTAGTTTCCAGGTGAAACTGTCTAGTGTATGTTTCGTTTAT